GCTCTAACTTCTCATAACCCAATATTTTCGGCTCAGAAATTGTCAAGCCATGCTCTTTACTTAATTCATCTCAATGCGTAAAACTACAATGCTAAATTAAAAAATTTTTCGCAAAACCTGAAAAAACGAGAAAATCTTGTGGTATTTTAGCTTCAATTTGCTTATTTTACAATAGTTCTAGCTCAAAATTTGCTGAATTATATTGTTAACTAATTAGCATTTACTGTAAAAATTTCAAAACGATAAGGTTTCGAACTAAAAAACTATAACATTTCTTCGACGCCGAGTCCCGATTTTTCGCGCACAACCACACAACACACCGCACCACACGTCACCACATCACAACGGGCCATTCCAGAATTTGCATGCGTTTTTTGGCGCTCGTTTTACCTATCCATTAGCACAGGGGAACACAATGTTCATCAACCCTGAAACGGTTAGCGGCCCGGTGGGGGGTGGCGGAGGCGGCGGGGGCGCTTGGGGAGCCGCCGTCGCGCCGCGGGGGGAACCTGCAGGGGTGTGGTAGGTGAATCGGTTTAGAGGTGCGGAGTGTTTATGTTACATTTTAAGGCCCATTTCAATGGACTACAAGGATTTTGGACTATTTAGTAAAACATTTAAACTAATTTTTATGGCGTAAGCAATAACTCCGCGTTTTTCGGACGGAGATTTGGTTGTTTTACAGCTTTAGACAGACGTTGCATCCAATAAATGTGATTTTAAGTGGCAAATGTTGTAATCGGTTTCCTCAGAGTTTTTTAACTATGCAATGCTCTGCAGAGATAGGAAAAGCGTTCTTAATTGATCCGATGATCCATTGATTTTTGAAAGCCCCTAAGCCCCCACTCGCGCGTTTTGATGTTTTCAAGATTCGGTGACGGTCAGGGTTTAGGCGCAAAAGAGACCAAAAAAAATCGGAAAATATTTTGATTGTCCAAACCTTACTGACACGCCACCTTTAAAATGCAAAAGAACTGAAAATAACTGTTTCGATTTCCTTTAAATACGAAAAAATTAGCTTCTGACGTAACAGTGAAACTAATTAAACCCATCAAAATTTTATAAATGGTATTTTTTTGAGAAGTAGTCTCTCGGTCTCACTCTAGCTCTCTCTTCCTTTTTTAAATATTGTTGAGCTCAACAGGAACCTGAACCTAGCTCTAACTTTCTCTTTTTTTCCTGTTTCCATACCATAACCAAAAAGCTCTCGGGTTAAGGCGCACACTTCATCCAAATCCAAACACCGCCAATACCACAAAACTTACGCCTAGCCGTTGGTGGGGCCGTTTGATCGATCGGTGGTATCGTCTCGTCGTACATGGCGAACGAGATCTTCGGGGGTTTCCGCTTGAGGTTGATCTCATCGGGAGTGGGCAGGGATAACCGGTGCCTAGCCCCCAGGATTCCGGCGGGTTGCGCTAAAAATTTTGGGACTCCACAAACCATTCCGGCGCGGGTTATTTTTAGCTAGGGCATGCGAGTGGAAAAATGGTGGGATGGGCCAGCCAGGCGGGTTTTAAAGGGATGATGACTGACAGTTTGAAAGCTTCATAGAATTTCATAGAATTTTCAGCAGATAGGCGCTTCATCTCGCTCTCTCACTAACTGACTGTCACTCTCTCTCGCGCTCTTTTTCGGTTTCTTGTTCGCTCTTGATATTTTTGAAAAATTCGACATTCTTTAGCTTTTTGTCTCGGCTGGCACATCCCGGCTACAGGAAAGCAGTGGTTCTCTACATCTTATAAAAGCACATCACGCAAATCATGCAAAGTCTGTTACTTACGTGGTGACGTATCCCGAGCGCTTGATTGTTGATCGTTTCCGTTGCGCTTCTGGAAAATGCGAGGGGAGACTGGGCCGCGTTCCTGAAATCAGGTCAAACTCAGAAAACCTGCCTTGCATAAGGATCGTTTGCTAGCCCGCCCGGATCCACAAAAAGCTATGTGGTTTCACCCTCTACTAACTTCCAACTAAGCTTATCGAATGCTTAGACAATCATTTCCGGTTTGCGGTTTCCTAGGAACCTTTGCTAGCTAGCCTTTCCAGAAGCTTCACTATGTCGGCTAGTTTCCCTCTCTCACACTCTCTCTCACCCTCGCTCTCGCTCTCTTTCTCTCGCTCGCTCGCACTCTCTTTATCTATCTCTGTTTCTCGCTCTCACTCCACTCTCGTCAACTCGCTTACCCTCAAGCTCTTCCCATAAGCCTTGATCTGCTTGGCCGTTCGAGCTCCGGTGAATTTATTGTACGGATAGGTCATGTTGTTGTCGTACTCCTCCGGGGCTGGTGGATCCTAAAACACAAAATTTTGGACGGCCCTCGAGAATCGTGCACACGCAATGGTCGTTAGTATCGACTGTGGACGCAGAGCACATAAATGTTGCGCTACCAATCGAAACTATTGATAGAAGATAGAAGGCACACTAAAGGAAGCCATCCAAAAAAACCGGCTGCCGGGGGTTTGGCGAACGGTGTTGGGGAGCGTAGTATAGCGGAATTTAGGATTCTTGGGGTATTTAGAAAGCTGAATTTTCCAGTCTACACGTTGTAAAGAGTAAGGAAAACTGCGCGCTAAAAATGATTCAAAATGGCAGACTTAGCGAAAAAAAACCCGTCTTTCCATCTTTTAGCGCATTTTCAAGGTTTTTTGACGCGGAGACCCCAATTTCATTTTTTTAGATGCCTCAATAGCACGGAAACTATTTTTTCAAGTTAGTGGATAAAACAAAAAATCTGAATTTTTCGAAAAATCGATAAACAATCAGGAAAATTTACCCCGTCCACCGTTCCCCCACCCACCATTAAAAGAAAAATAAAGTATAAAAATGGTCAAAGACAATTAATTGATAGCTGAACACAGAACGCTGTATCCCTCTCTCCAGAACGATACCCGGTGCCAGGTTTTGCTCGTTCTACGCCTCGAATCGTGGCCAGGGACCTCGAGGGTGTCCCCCCGGCTCGAGAGCATCTGTTAGTGAAACGTATGCAAATTAGAACTCAATATTTGGAACCAAAACTTATTTGTTATTTTTGAGCGCTAACAAAAAGGAAAATTTTATCTTTTTATAATATTATTAACTAACGAATTTCTCTCCAACAGGTTGCTTTAATCAAGAGTTTCTGTTAATTTATCTCTTCCTAAAAAACTCTGTGAATTACGTTTTTCCTAAGGAATCGCTGTTAGCCTACTTTCACCTAAACTTTGGACTTTGCAAGCTTTTTGTAAATTTTGTTTAGCATTCCATTCAGCTAGTTTTCTTTCACTTTTGGTGCGCGCACCCTCTCGCTCGTAGTCTCTCTCTCTCTCTCTCTCTCTCTCTCTCTCTCTCTCTTTCTCTCTCTTTCTCTCGCTCTTTTTCTCTCTGTCTCTCTTGCCTTTTATCTCTCTCCCAAGCCGATGATCCATTAAAAAATGAAGAGTGAATAAAACCTAGCATGAACATTGAAAAACCCAAAAATTGACTGAAAGCTGTAGCCTGGACGGACATCCCAAATTTTCCGAAAAAATTTTCAATCCATCCCAAAGACCCAAAGATACTGCGGCCTCTTTACCAAAAGCATTGAAATTTCGAGTCTACGTTGCTGAAATTCGAAAATTTATAAAGATTAACATTATAAAGATAGTAACGTAACAAAAAAGAGGAAATTTTTACCTCCTCGTCAAAGTCCAGGTCCAGCAAATGACGGCTGTAGAGGGAGCGCCGCTGAAAAATAGGAATATTTTAGAATATGAGAAATTAAACGATTTCTATAAATTAAAAAGAAACAGGCCAGAAGATTGCACATAGCAAAAAAAACCTAGCCAACCTCATGCACGACAAGCACTCGGGCTAAACAGCAACCCAATCGATCGAACCCAAAACTCAGCCATGCAGATTGATTTTGCATAATTTTTATAGAGATGCAGGGGATAGGTGTGGTTAGTAATTTTTGGTGTTGGTTGGGAATTTTGAAATCAGAAAAATCGTGTTTTGCTTCTTTCTATCTCCCGGCTCTCGCTCGCTCCTCTCTCTCTCTTTCTCTCTCTCTCTCTCTCTCTCTCTCTCTCTCTCTCTCGCTCTCTCTCACTCTCTCTCTCTTTCGCTATTTTTCTCCCGCCCAACCAACACCACCGGAACAACCAAACTAATAAGAACTGTTCTTATGTTTTGTATCTGTGCTGCCTGGCGACACTAAGTAGGCTTACGGACCCGTTGCCGGAAACCATTTCGCCGACCGTCTCCGTAGTCGTAGTCCTGCCAAATGAAAAACGCGGTTTCAGGGGAGGGGGATCAGGCTGCAGTACACTCCACACAACGTAAGGAAAGTTATCTTGTTCGATTTTTGAATAACGTTTTAGAGCTTTTTCAACCTATAAATTCCTTTGTTCGCTGGCTCATGCAAACTTTTCTCAGCATAGAAAAGTCGGGAGTTGATTTTATCAATATTATCATTTATTTTATCTAGATTTTCTCGATTTCTATTTGAGGCCACACTAGCTAAGGAATTCAAAACGCGCTGTTGTTAACTTGGGTAAATAAAGAAAAAGGTTAGAACGGCTAAAAATAAGAACAAATAGAAACCAGAGAAACCACGAAAATTAAAAATAAAAAAGTTATTAGCTACATTTTTACGTTTTTAGTTCTAGACTTAATTCATACGACTTCTAATATATGTTTAAGTCCACACGGCACGACAAGCAAATGAGGCAAACGCAAGCGAGCAAAGAAAGTGAGGATTCCTTGAGCAGTGGTGAATTATGCTTTTTCAAGCGGGTTAGTGTTCGGATCAGGATTTCGGAGCTCTTCAGCAGCCATTTTTTGAGCTCAAGAGCCTTTAAAGGGGCTAGCAAAGCTTGGAAAAATAAATTTAGCCTTTCTAGCTCCTTTAAGAGTGCCCCAAATCCTTTGAACGCAATAAAAATGAGTGAAGCGGATGAATAACGACCTTATAACGACCGTATTTTGCCTTCGAAAGCCCCTAGGGTTTTTAAAGGGACTGGAAAGCTCACAAAATGTTGATTTTTAAATGATCAAATTTCAGCATATAAAATCCCTTTAAAACGGGAGAATATCTAGGCTTTTTTGGCGTCCTAGTACCTTTAAAACAACGTTTACCTTGTCTCGAAGCGATCCCCTTCCTTGTTGTATCGCCGCAGTCTCGAAGGCCTCACGCACGAAGCCGGACAAGCTCTCGTTTCTCGGGATAGATCTTTGGCTTGGAGGTGGAACCGGCAGTAACGTGGAACGTTCCGTAAGATCCGGCGAGAAGGTGATGTCCACAGGCCTAAAATGGCATTTTCACGTCGAAAATTCGGTTAAAAGAATAGGGACAAACTCCATGGAGCACCAACACACCAGAGCCGAGCTGCGTTCCGTGTTTTGGCATGTGTTTAGGTATAGATAGTATCTATTATAGTGTCCTATAGAATATCGTGACTTGAAGATAAAGTGTATAGTGGTGTGGGTTACGGTAGTTTTGAAATAGTAATTTTTGAGGTGAACGGGATGTAGATTTGGTTTTGAAGGTTCAGTTTTTTAGTAGAAAATACATTTTGCGAGGGCTATCGGGTCCAAATCACGAAAAATTCAAACTCAGAGGTTTTCTCATGAATCTCTGCTAGATTACCAGCTGCCTGAAAATTTCTGAGAACGTAAAAAATTACCAAAAATCCCTGCTAGCCTCCCTGTTTATAATATTTTTCAGATACCACCTATCAAACTCGCAAAAAAATCGGTGCTAGCCGACCGATTAAAAAAAATACAAAAAAGCTGATTTGTTCTTCTCAAAGGGCGCAGAATTTAAAGGGGCTCCGAAATCTGGTCCACGGCCCCCTGCTGTGATTCCTGGCAATTAGCCAGATGCGGCCGCAACGCGACCGCGTCGCCTGACCATTTACCCCTATTTGGACGCGAAAACACTTGAATTTAAAAATTCCGATCCTATTTTTGGAATCCTCAACAAATTTTGATCATTCCAGTCTTTTAAATTATGAAAATTGGCCAGAGAATCACGGAGATCGAGAGATTGGGTGTCTTACAAAGCATTACGACATGGAATCGCCGCCCACTCAATATGTCGTTTTCGCCCCAAAAGAATCTCGGTCTTTCTCAAACATTTCACGTTTTTCGCAATCAATTCACTTTTCTAGCACTTCTCGGCATAGACCCTTTCGGTTTTGACTCCATAGGTTCAATCCCCGCGCGCACGGATTTTGACTTCTGAGCCCTTTAACAGA